CACCTTCCCCGAGACCGCCTACGAGAGAGACGAAGCGAGTGCTTGGAACCGCCTGGGTTCGATAGACGGGAGCAAACCCGGGTCGGTGAGGTCGGAAGGCGAGCTGCCCGCTCGTCCGCTAGGAGCTTCGACGACGACGACAAGACGCTCAAAGCAATCATACCTTTCTTCGCTGAAAATCTTCAACAAGACGCTGACGCAGGAGAGCCTGCTGAAACTTGCGCTGCGACCCCTGGGCCTGATTCTCTTGCCGCCGGTCCTCTGGGCGGCGCTGGTGCAGGCCGTGACGGTCGGTTTCCTCGTCGCTGTGTCTTCCAATGCTGGTTCCGCCTTCTACACGGCGTACGGATTCGATTCGTGGCAGATTGGCCTCTGCTTCATTGCCGGCATCCTCGGTGCGTTGCTCGGTATCCCGGCGGGCGGGCATCTTGGCGACATGATTGCGGATTGGTTTACCAGACGAAACGGCGGGATGCGGGATCCGGAGATGCGACTGCCTGGCATGGCCATCAGTATGGTTACGACTCCGTTGGCTCTCGTTCTCTACGGCGTCGGCATCGATAGCCAGCTGCACTGGATCTGTCCCACCATCGGCCTTGGACTTCGTACGTTGCCTTCCCCCCTCTCTCCTCTCCTCTCCTACCCGTCCCACCCCTCCATGCTCTTTTGTCGAAACGACGGTGTTTCTGATCATCCCATCTACAGTTACCTTCTCCATCTCCCAAGGAACGAACATCTGTCTCGTGTACGTGATTGATGCCTACCGGCCCGTCGCCGGCGAAATCACCCTGGCCGTCATGGGCTTCAAGTGTAAGTGGGCGTCCGACTCTTGGCATCCCTTCTTTTTGTCCGGCATGTAAAGCTGACTCTGGTCCTTGTCTTGCTGCAGCACTCTTTGGCTTCCTGTTGTCCTTCTACACCAATACCTGGGTTGAAAAGGCAGGGTACGACAATGCCTTTGGGGCCATGGCGGGCATCGCATCTGCCGTCTTGGTCCTGTGGGTGCCGTTATTCGTCTGGGGCAAGGCGATACGACACGAGTCGTGGAAGTGGCCGATCATCCGGTATATCCATTGGAACGAAGACAGGGAGGTAGGGGAATAAGAAAAGAGACGATGGAGAGAGGAGGAGAGAGAGAAAGAGAAGAGACCGGACGAAGTTGTAGTTTTCTTGTACCCATCCCACACCGATACCTTCACGGCAGCACACGTATAGCAAGGCGTTTCGGTACTTATAAGAACTGAGTTTTCATATTATGACGGGAAAAGAAGAGCACAGTAAAAATAAGAGGAAGGGCAAGCGCCTTTTACAAGCTTTAAGGTTCCTCCTTCGTTCTTTTTTTTTCCTATCCGTAATTCCTCCTGGTCTTGCTTTGGCCTCCCCCCATTCGTTGCGCCAATACGCAAGCCCAGGGCGTGCCCAGCCCACCTTGGCTCTTCGGGATGTGGGAGGAGCTGGGTCCCTCATTCCCGACACCAGCGCCGCCCAGGCAAGCGGGGTGGGGGGGCCAAGCCAGGCCGCGGACAGGTTTGACGACATCTCTCTCGCCCAATCTCAGCTCTGAGCAGCTCGCAACAGCCCCGTTCCTGGACCCCTTGAACAGGCCATTTCATACAGATTTCTGATCATACTTTCTTGTGTTTTCCTTGAAAATAACTTGCTCAGTGGTCCTCAGTGGCTCGATTCAACTAATCTGGCTGCCTAGCCAAAGGTGGTGGCCGTTTTTTTTTTCTTTCTTTCTGCCCTTTTGGACCCTGAGTCAATGATGAGTAAAACTTTATCATCATCCCTAGTTGTTGCGTGGCTGGCTTTCACGGGCGACGGGGTGTGTGGGCTATTAGTACCCATGTATCCGTATGTGCCATGCTCTGTCCCAGACTCTCTCTCTCAGGCTTTCTCTCTCTGTGACCTCTGTTTCTCTCTCTGTGACCTCTGTTTCTCTCTCTGTGACCTCTGTTTCTCTCTCTGTGACCTCTGTTTCTCTCTCTGTGACCTCTGTTTCTCTCTCTGTGACCTCTGTTTCTCTCCCTCGTGACCTCGTCTTCTCTTAAAGAGGAATCCATACTCCGTCCAGATATTCGTGGACCGTACTCCGTTAAACCCCCCTTCCCGCTCGCTCGCGCGCTCTCTCTCTCAAATACTGAGCCCCCCGTCAATGACGGCGTTAGCGCCGGTGACGCTCCTGCTCCTGGCGAAGCACAGCACCTGGTCGGCCACGTCGTCGACCGTGGCGAGGCGCTTGAGCGGCGTCCTGTCTCGGGCGGCCTGTTGTTTCTCTTGCGGGAACTGTAGGCCCCATTCCTATACACGCGGAACGGTGGGTATGCAGTGAGCATGTCTGTTTCTGTCTTTTCACGGATGTGTCTTGCCGTGATACGTATGTAGTCGGATGAGATAGACAAGGGGGGAGGGGGAGCAGAGATAAGGGTAAGGTGTGAGGGTAGGAGTGATGGGGAAGGGGAAGGGTGCGGATTGTGTAACATACCGTCAACATGAGGCCCGGAGAGACGCTGTTTACTCTTATTCTCGGGCCCGCTGCTAACGCGAGGCCTTTTACGAGGTGGATCTGGGCTGCTTTCGTCACGGCGTAGGCCTATGTTGTTTTTGCATATCGAGTTAGAGAATCTGCCTTGCCTTGCCTTGCCTTGCTTGCTTGCTTGCTTCCTGCGCCCATACGATATTGGGCAGCAGAGATGGCGAGGACCAGGAGAAAGATGGAGAGAAATGAGATTGCAAAGAAAAGAATGTTTTACCAGTGAACTCCCGCTGACTTTGACACCAGCCAGCGACGCCGTCGTGATGAACGCGCCCTCCGCCTCGTCGAGGTACGGCCGCGCGGCGTGCATGAGGAACAGGTGCGACTTCACATTCATATTGAAGCAGCGGTCCCAGTCGTCCTCGTCGACGTTGTCGTCGAGGTCCGCGATGTCGCGGAGCCTCGTCCAGCCGCCATTGGAGAAGAGGACGTCGAGGCGGCCGCCGAGGGCGTCGGCCGCGCTCTCGACGAGGGCGGAGGTCTCGGCGCGGGAGGAGAGGTCCGCTTTGACGGCGTGGAAGCGCTGCCTTTGGCCTCCTTCCGTGGGAGAAGGGGAGGTGGACGAGAGGGACTCGAGTTCCTTGACCAGGGCGTCCGCGCGGTCGCTGTTGTTCGCGTAGTTTATGACGACGCTGTAGCCGTTGCGGGCGAAGAGTTTGGCTGTCGCGGCGCCGAGGCCTGCGCTGCCTGCCGTGATGAGGGCGGTTGGGATTGGAGACATGGTTTCTGAGAGTGTTCTGTTTTTCCTTTTTTCTTTTCTTTTCCCCCCTTGTTCCTGTTGGATGTTTTACTTCGATCGGCAAAAGTAAGGGGTGGTGAGTGCGGTGTGAGTGTGCCAGTGAGCGCGGCCTTGTTCGGTCCCGATGAGCTTTGTGTTGTAGAGGAACTCCGGAGCTTTGTATCGGAATTCCGGTGTCGGGGCGGGGTAAGGTCGGGACCAGATTGGGGCCGGCATGCGCACCAAGGAGCCGAAGAAAAGGGCGGGGTAATGATTGCGGCAGAGTGCCTTACGCGGGTGCCGAGGGTTCCGTGTGGGTTCGCGCGAGCAGTAGGTTTTTGATCTTATTGTTCCGTTTACCGTGGACTAGATCCGATGGGATGAAGTAGAACAAGGTGAGGCCTGGAAGAGTTTTGGTCAGATTGATATTCCCAATGAGTTGAGTTCAACTCATCCTATGTTTTGCCGTATTCGTAACATGAGCAGCTACAGAGTGCGATGGACAGGTAGGAATTGGATCATAATTGGCACTGGACCTGGAACACACAAATACCTGGTACGGAGTACTATATGCGGCAAACGCATCAATGACAAGGGCACATATGCCATGACTTTGATCCAATGTCGCTTGGATGTATCCCCCCCAATAATAGACATATTGGTGTAGGAAGTTGTGGTAAACTACAAGTACAAGTCACAGTAGCAGCAGCAGCAGCAAGAAGAAAGCCAACGGACCCACCCCCACCTGAGCCGATCTTTTGCTCGCTCCCCCCCCTCCTTGACCGGAAACACTCCCCGACACATCCTTACCGAGAAAGTCTGTCTGTACGACAAACCATTCGGTTTCCAGTTCGACGCTGAAAATGTTTATTACAACCTTTGAATAACGACGGTTGTTACCTTCCCCTTGCAAGTTCCTGTGAATGGGAGGAGGGGGGACTACTCGAAGGAGGCATACCGCTGAGACCTTTGTGCATAAGCTCAGCTGTTCGATTCGTCTCAAGTACTTTCAAAAGAGTTTATTCGGGACGATTGTTTTCTGCTTCTCTCATGACAGATGGACACAGCTGTGAGGAACAGGGTTACTAGGTGATCGCATAGTATGGATGATGAGGCTAAACGACGTCCCGCGTATAACAGGTCCCCTCCCCCGCCATGGTTCCGGCCTTCCGCCCGCCGGCAGAAAATGCGGGGGAGCAATCTGCCCAGCCAGTGGTCACCCTCTTTCGGTATGGCTTTTGTTCTGATGAGGAAGGGGGCATGATGACTTTCACTAGCTCCCTCCAATTCTTGCCCTGTGAGAGCTCGGCGATTGCAAAAAGTCCGGGGTTGCGTTGGCAGTTTTGATGGTGGTTGCAATGGAGACAAGGGAGGGAGGGGCCGAGCTGTCGAAGCCCAGCAGACCGAACGATCGACGCGGTGGCGTAGCGTCGAAGTCCGGGGCGGGAAGCGTTTGAGATGACGGGGAGTGTAAGTCGTACGGTCTTATTCGTTCCCCCGTCAAACATCGGTTATATCTCGTCTCTTTTTTTCTCATAATGCATGGTTGCGGCCCTTTTTTCTTCACATCTCGGCGCTTCGGTCTCACACTTTCCCATCCACATTACTCGCAGCTCTGACATTCCCCTTAAACAATTCCTCGTCCACAAACGACTGCGAGAGTCAAGTAAAGGTCTTTGTTTCACAATCTGACCACAGAACAACGCACCCTCTTTTCCTTTCTGCGCATACGTCCAGTTTGGCACCATGTTGGTCAACGGAGAGGCTCAGCGCCCTAATGGCGTGTACTCGAGTCCCATGGTCCACGAATATCCCCGGCCTCTCAAGATTGCCATTGTAGGCGCCGGCATTGGTGGTTTAAGCACAGCCATCGCACTACGCCGGCAAGGTCACCAAGTTGACGTAAGATCCCCCCCAACCCGTAGCCTCATCACACTCGCCCCATTGCCCCATTCGTGCTGCCCATCGTACTCACGCTTTCAACCGTAGCTTTACGAGCAGTCGAGACTCGCCAACGAGACCGGTGCCGCCGTACATCTGGCCCCTAACTCCAACGGTCTCCTGCGGAGATGGGGCATCTACGCCGAGACGTTCGGCGCCAACCCTTCACACCACTTCAAGGAGAGGGACCTGAACAACCAAGGCGGCTTCGACGTCGACATTACAAAGTCACAGGGTCAATGGCAGCACCCCTGGCAGCTCGTCCACCGCGCCTACCTCCACAACGAGATCCGCAACGTCGCCACGGCTGAGGATGGAGGGGTCACCACGCCGGCCAAGCTTCATGTCGCGTCCAAGGTTGTCGGCGCGGACCCCGAGAAGGGCGAGCTGTCGCTGGAAGACGGGACGACCGTTCAGGCAGATGTCATTCTTGGTGCCGATGGTATTTACGTAGGTTAACGAAGGAGCGGAGGTGTAGTACAGCTGGCGATACTGACATTCTCCGAATAGTCCAAGGTCAGGAGATTTGTGACCGGCACCGACTACAAGCTGTTCCGCTCCGGCAAGGCGGCGTTCCGCTTCCTCATCCCCCGCGCCGCCGCGCTCGAGGACCCTGTCACTGCGCCTTTGGTCGACAGAGAGAACTCACTGGGGATTTGGTTTGGTACGGATAGGCGTATTGTGATTTACCCGTGCAACAATAACCAGCTCCTCAACTTTGTTTGCATTCACCCGGATACCGAGTCTCAGGCAAACGCAAGCGACGGTAAGTCTCTTTCACCCCCCATCGTACAGCAACAAGACTGATGAAGCAGTAGAATGGAACAAGAAGGGCTCCATCGAACAACTACTCAAGGTTTACAAGGACTTTGATCCTGCTGTGTTGCAGCTGATAAAGAAGGTTAATCCCGATGAAGTCAATGTATGGCAGTTGTTGGATATGGAGGCTATGCCGACGTGGGTGAATGGCAAGCTCGCCCTTTTGGGTGACGCCGCGCACCCTTTCACACCTCGTAAGTCTCGTCTTACCGAGACGATCCACCTCAAGATACTAACAGAGCCGTAGATCAGGGGCAAGGCGCAGGCCAGGCTATGGAAGACGGAGCAGCGTTAGCAGTCGTTCTACCCAAGGGCACATCGCCCGACGAAGTCCCTGAGCGTTTACGTCTGTACGAAAAGATCCGCATGGAGCGCGCGCACAAGATCCAAGAGTTCTCTCGTCAAGCCGGCAAGGACAGAATACCAGGCCAACCACCCGCCATCAAAAGTTCGTGAAAGCCCCCCCTCTCTCACACACACATACACCCCTTGGCAAATCAACTAACACGACGAAAAACAGTGATGAACTACACAAACTACAACTTTGGCCACGACGAGCACGACCACGCGACAAAGATCTTCAACAAGTACCTCTGGTCCAAGAAGCAGGACATGTACTGGCGCATGCCCATCGGCTTCGGTCCCTTCCCGGGCCCCCGACAGGACTTCTTCGGCCGCCGGCAGCCGTCCGAGCTCGAGCGCACCTTCAAGACAATGTCGGTCAAGTTCCTCACGTCGCGCACGCTACTCGAGACCATCCTCCCCACGGACTCGTTCCGCTTCAAGGAACCGGGCACCGTCTGCGCCGCCTCGCTCTCCGTCACCCAGCTCAACAACATGTCCTGGCTCGGCGGCGGCGGCTACAACCATCTGGGTCTGTACATCCACGGCATCGAGTACGTCAAGCGCGACAGCACCGCCATCAGCGGCACCCACCTGTCTGTCTTGTTCGAGTCCCTGACGGATCCCATCGTATCGGGCCGCGAGGAGCTCGGCATGCCGAAGCTGTTCTGCGACATTGACCTCGAGCACCACGCCACGGCAGCGCGCGTCCGTGCCTCGTGGCGGGGCGCCACCTTTGCCGACATCTCGCTCAAGAACCTGCGCCGCGACGAGCCCGAGACGGAGCACGGCACCATCGGCGGCGAGGCGGACTACGGGATCCTGACTTACCGGTATATCCCCTCGGTCGGGCAGCCGGGCAAGGCCGACGCCGAGTACGCGTGCGTGGTGCCGCACGAGGAGGAGGCCAAGGACGTCCCCGCCACGGTGCACGCCGTGTCTAGGGCGTCTGCGGCAGACGTCTCGGTCAAGATGGATGGTCATGATTGGGAGAAGCTGCCGACGCTGCATCACGTTGCCAAGTTCCTGGCTGAGATGCCCATCTATGAGGTTGTGGGTGCCAAAGTCGTTGAGGGGACGGGCGTGCCGAATGTTTCTGCGGCTCGGAGGATAGAGTAGGGCAGTTTCGGAAGTCTAGGAGCAAGGGGAAGAGATTGTCATATCATCAGATCTCATGATGGAGGCATTGTGTATACTTTTTTCTCGTAGTGGCATCCAGGCTTTGGGCCTGGTGAATACCCAACATTGTACTTTGATAACCAAAACCCATAACATGTTGGGACATGCCCCAGATGAAGACGCTGACCATGCGCATCATTCTGCAATCCCGCTTCCAAAAGATTATACAGTATCCTTCTTCCTATCAACCTTGTGAAGTTGAATTATTCCACCTCATCTTCCCTCAGCCCCCTCCCCAAATATACCCGGCTCTTACAGTCGTCCGTAAGCCCGAACCCAAGATCTCAGATCAACGATGCATGGGAACCTTCAAGATCATGTGCAGAGAACAAACCTTCCACCCCAGCTTTCTGGTGGCCTTGTTTTTACCTCAGATGCACAGCCGTACAAGACCCAACACGTGTGAAGAGATTACAGTTTCATAGCGTCCGCCGTACCTGTCTGTCCTCCCACACCCGTCCCCGCACAACCCACCTCCTCTCGACGTCCCGGCCCCACCTCCACTTTCCGCCCACTCGCTCCGGCATGGCAGATGGGTGCGAGAAGCTGGCGAAGCTCAAAGCCCGTACGACGCCGGAATGCCGACACGGCAACTACTTTCAAACATGGTGGTCGAGGAGGGGGGAGAGGGGGTGGGATGGCGCGGGGAAAGGGAATGATCAACGGGATGTTACAGAAGTCTACTTTGCAGCTGTTCATTTGTAAGCTCAACGGGTTGCTTTTATTTCGAGGGGAGTAGAAGACCGCCCATCCTTCTTCTTGAAAGCTTGCTCGTCTCAAATTTCTTCGTCACACGGCTCTCCCCTCGACTTCGGCATGGACTATTTATACTTTTGACGTCTTTCAACAAACGTAGTAACTGCACCTACATCACACATAAACAGCCAGACTCCGCAACCTCCCATCCGTCATCAACCTCGTACAAAACCACACCGGACAAGACAAACAACAGCACATACATCCCGCAACAATGGCCTCCCACACCTCGCCCACCGACCTCCGCCGCCCCCACCGCTTCATAACAGACCACGACCCCTCCACGGGCAAAGCAATCTTCAACACCACCGTCGCCCCCGAAATCCCGCAACAGACCGTCGGCGGCGGCGCCAAGTTCTACCTCGGCTACACCACAGAACAGACCCCCGTCCCCCTCGCCCAGAACGCAGACGTGACCGCCTACGCCCGGCGCCTGTCGGACCCGCCCGGCATCGTGATCCCCGGCGGCAGCGTCGTGCGCATCGTCGACATGGCGCCCGGGTCGCTGAGCCCCATGCACCGGACCGTCAGCCTCGACTACGGGGTGGTGCTCGAGGGCGAGATCGACCTGGTGCTGGACTCGGGCGAGACGAGGAGGATGCGGAGGGGGGACGTGAGCGTGCAGAGGGGCACGATGCACGCGTGGAAGAACGTGAGCGAGACGGAGTGGGGGCGCATGTTGTACGTGCTGCAGGAGGCGGAGCCGCTTGAGGTTGGCGGGGAGGTGTTGAAGGAGGATTATGGGGTTGGCATGGGGGATGTGAAGCCTTCTGGTTCCAAGTGAGAGAGTTTTGTGGGCATTGGAGATTTTTTTTCATCGAGATGCTCTACTGCGTCTGTGAATAAAGAGGCATTTCGATACAAGGTATCCTTTGCAGTATATGAGGCTCGTCGCGCCGTTGGACAGCATGGAGAGCTTAGGGCTCTGAACAAAAAGGAGGTCTGAGACTGAATCACCAAAGCGTGGTTAGCTCCTGAAGAATCAGACGAATGATCACAATATTTGGCATTGCTGTAATCATTGATGGCCCTAGAGAATGTTTTATTACAGACAGATGCCGCTCCACCAGTGAGGAAATATCCGAGTCTATTTCTCCTGTGAAGCATCAGGCACCACCGGATCACACCTACAATATTCATGATAGTCATCTATTAGGTAGATGACACCGAGCATGTGCTGATGCCGTCAGGTGGGAAGACGACGCATGTTGGGTTCCATGTATTACGAATCTTGGAGTGTAGTTCTCTAGTAATGTACATCATGCTCTGCAGAGAAGAGAAAAACTCCATCCTTCTAGCTTTCAAAGCTATTCTACCTATCATGTAACACTCATACTCCTCCATTCTGCACATCGAAGAGCCACATATCCGCCGACGATCTATCTGTCGAGTGCTTGGCTGTGACACTACGAAAAATAAGTCAGTAAATCTTCTGTCTCTCTGTTGCTTGGGAGTGGTGGAACTTACCATGTGCCAATACACACCCTTCTTCTTCAATAGTTCATTATGGCTGCCCTTCTCCAACAACTTGCCTTCGCCCAGAACAAAAATGACGTCGGCATTCTGCACCGTCGCGAGACGATGCGCGACGACAACCATGGTCCGCCCCTTTCCTGCCCTCTCAAAGGCGGCCTGGACCAGCTTCTCCGACTCCGAGTCGAGGGAACTCGTCGCCTCGTCGAGCAGAAGAATATTGGGGTTCCTGATGAGGGCGCGCGCAATCGCCACGCGCTGCTTCTGTCCACCCGACAGGGAGACGCCCTTGCTGCCGATGTCGGTATTGTACCCCTCGGGCAGGGACGCGATGAATTCGTGGATCGAGGCGTCGCGGCAGACCTGGTGCAGCTGCTCGTCCGTCACGGTGCCATCCTCAACTCCCAAGAGGATGTTCTCCCGGAGGGTGCCCTGGAAGAGCGTGGCCTCCTGGGCGACCAGGGAGAGCTGCTTGCGGTACTCGTAGACGTTGATGTCGTTGATGTTTTTGCCGTTGCAGAGAATGGCGCCCTTTTGCACGTCGTAGAAGCGCTCCATGAGGGAGACGATGCTCGTCTTGCCGCACCCGGAGGCGCCTACGAGGGCGGCAAACTGGCCCTTTTCAATGGTCAGGTTGAGGCCCTTGAAGACGGACACGTCGCGGGTCGGGTACTTGAAGTGCACGTCGCGCAGCTCGATCTGGACACCGCCCTCCGTGTCGGGAATCCTCTCAGTCGCGGGGATGAGGTCCTGGTTCCGGGACTCGCGCATGTTGATGATACGGTTCGAGGCGCCCGTGACCTGGGCTGCATTGGGACCGAAGCTGAGACCCTGTCCGGCGGCTTCCGCGCCTTGGATCACGGCCATGAAGCAAACGAAGAAACCCTGAGCTTGGTACTCTCCGGACGCCAGGAGTCGACTACCGTACCAGAAGATGAGAGCCTGACAAGCCATGGAAACTGAGTCTGAGAAACCAAATACTGCACTCGTCCACCGAGCTTTCTTGAAGGCATGGCTGACGTGGCCCTTGAGCAGGTTTTCATACCGTAAGCAAGTCATGTCCTCTAGTGTCAAGGCCGAGACTGTTCTGAAAGCCCCAATGGACTCGGCGGCGAATTTGGAGCTCTCGGCAAAGACTGCGGCGTTCATCTTGTCGAACTCGATCTCGTACTTGAAGCGGAGGTATCCCGATATGAGACCAATAGGCATCGTGACGCAGAGAGCGACCAGTGCCAGTTTCCAACCGAAAGCAAACGCAATAGAGATGGCACCAATGACGTTGAAGATTGCCGTGTAGACCATGGCCATATTGAGACCCAGGAGCTCCTCCAACTGCTTAGGATCTCCATCCACACGAGCTGTAAGACTGCCGTGAGCGTTCTCTTCTTCATCGTAGAACGAGGTCTTCTGGAATAGAATAGCCTCGAAATACTGCTGCCTGTAGACTGCGCAGATAATAGCCGCCAGATGTGTTGCCACAAATCCCATGAAAAAGTACGACAGACCAATACCGATAGCAAGCACCGCCCACATGAGAGACCAGAAGTTGCTGTCGCTTCGGATCTTGTCGGGTGAGTTCAGGGGGTTGAACACTACGATGACTTTGGCAAAGAGGTATGCCTGCAATGGGGTTCCAGCCGCAGCACACGCCGCGAAGACGACGGTGAGGATGCAGAGATACCAACGGCTCCGCTGCTCGTACAGCAACCGACCGAAACTTTGGAAAAGGTTGCGATTCACAGCCTCGGACTTTTGGCGTGTACCACTGGCCTCGGACATTGCAGCGCTCTTCTCCCGGCCAAGATACTCGCCGAGGTCTTCCTCCTTCGGGTTATCGTCATCGCTGGCTTCCGTTTGGTCTCCGAGGGATAGTTGCTGGGCATGGACCAGCCCGTAGTAAACACCCTCATCATCCTCTAGGAGGCTCTCGTGGGTGCCTTGTTCAACAACCTTGCCCTTCTTCAGAACAATAATTCGATCGGCCTTCTTGATGGTAGAAAGTCGATGGGCAATAGTGATTGTCGTGCGGTTCTGGGAGACCTTGTCGAGAGCAGCTTGAACGATTCTCTCGCCGCGAACATCAATGGCGCTGGTGGCTTCGTCCAGGATCACGATCTTTGGCTTTCTGACAATGCTTCGGGCAATGGCAATGCGCTGACGCTGTCCGCCAGAAAGCTTTGCGCCACTGTCGCCGACAAAAGTGTCATAACCCTAGAGGCTCACGATTAGTATGCGTTCGCAGAAGCAAGGCAAGGCGATGTACTTACGTCTGGCAGGCGATCGATGAATTCGTCGGCGAATGATTCTTGGCAAGCTTCCTTGACAAGAGCCCTCTTCTTATCGTCGGATTCGTCTTCCCACTGTGAGCCAATCAATCCGTAGGCAACATTCTTGAAAATCGTATCGTTGAAAAGGAAAGGCTCTTGTTGAACGAGACCAATTTGTGATCGCCACCATTTGAGGTCGATGTCGTCGAGGGCATGGCCAGAAGTAGAAACGGAGCCTTTAAGCTCTACGGAGGGTCCGGTTTCCTCGGGCTCTGGCTTTTCCTCATCGTCAGAGTCATCCGCTCCGTTCTTGCTTTTCTTCTTCTTTTTCTTCTGGGCTTCCTTCACCTTGTCCTTCTCGATCGTCTTGGCGATGATGTACTGGTCTTGCAGGGTATACCATCTTTCAATCAGGCCTACGATTGTGCTCTTGCCGGATCCTGAGGGGCCAACAATAGCCGTGACCTTGCCCGCCTCGATAGTCAGGTCCAGATCGTCAAGAACTTTGACGTGGGGCCGGCTGGGATACGCAAAGGTGACTCCCTTAAATTCGATGTTCTGGTTGGCGGATACTTCAGGCTCCTTCAGCTCCCCCGTCTTTGGACGAGGAGCGTCAATGATAGTCAAGAACTCGCATGCCGCGACCATTGCCTTGCTGATGGCGAGCAAAGGTGTGCTGATACGCTCGAGGGACATGACAGTAAGCATGACTGACATGAGGACACTATCTCGTAGGTTAGGTCGTGATTCAAGGGTCCTTACGGCTCAGCGTTTCTTACATGATGACTTCGCCGACATTGTCAACTCTCCCGTCAACCCAAGAGTGTGTGCCGTACCAGAATGCCAGTCCGAAAGTACCGAAGAGAGCGAAGAACTACGGTGGATTAGAACAAATTGCCATTCCAGACCAAGGAAGAGAGTGTGAACTTACAATCATGCCGAACTGGAGAGCCATCAAAGGCGCCGTAGCTTGGCCCCTCTGACGAGCAACGTTGACCCAGCGAGCATACCGAGCAGCGATGCGGTCTTCAGCACCACAGGCGGCAACCATACGAATGCTTGAGAACGCCTCGCTAGCAACAGCAGAAGCTTTGCCTTCCGCCCGGGTCACTTGACTGTGACCCTTGATGATAAAAGGCAACAGAACACCCAAGACCAGGAGGATGAAGAGAATCACCGACGCCGTCACAAGCGTCAAGGACCAATTGTAAGTGAAAGCCACAATGATGGCAGTCCAAATTGTGCCATTGAACTCGAGGAAGACGCCGAGCTTTTCCGAGATACCAATCTGGAGCGTATTCGCGGTCGATGTGATGGTGCCGGCAGCGGCTCCAGCTGGCATCGAATCGAGTACGTGGATAGTCTGGCCGAAAAGGCGTTGGAGATAGTGCAAACGGATTGCAGAAGACAGCCGAATGCCAATCATCCTAAACGCGAACTTGTTGACATAGTTGAGGGCGAAGCGAGCCAGAAAGAGGATGAAGAGGTAAAGGGCCTGTTTGTCGGCAATCCTCTTGAAATCGTCTGGAGATACTGAGCCGTCTCCTGAAGTGAACCCGTTGAACTGGTTGACGAGTTGGCCGAAGATGACTGCGCATGTAAGTCAGATGGTCAGTCATTACGAACAAGGTTGTATTTCCTTACTGTTCATCAATGGCAACGTGGTACCGGCGGCGATGGAGGCGATGCCAGCCGCAAAGTAGGCGAAAATGTCCCATTTTGTGGCGTACGTGAACACGCGCAGGTAGTCCTTGAAAGTAGGTTCCCGTTCGGGCTTTATCTTGGTTTCGGGAGTAGGCGCATCGTCCTTGCTTGAAGTTGAATGTACCGCATCCTTTTTGTCGTCGAGGACGCCTGTTGCCACTGGAGGCAGGGCGTCTGACGGCACCCTACCCGTGTCGATGTTATGCATGCTGAAGCGTTTGTTTTTCGAGAATCGGACTCAAGAAGACATAGTTAGTCGGTCGTCGGAGAGATGAAATGATGAAAGAAGCCTGCATCCAATGATGGTTCGGCTCGGCAATGGGAAAGAAGATGTAAAGAACCCAACCAAAATGTTTTTCGTGTCTCATGAACATGAAGAGGAAAGGGTAGGAGTCGAGCAGACCGGGTTGGTCCTAAACGTGTTTATACATCTGTACTCGAGAGAGAATACACGTAGTCAAAAGGGAGTGATGGAAGCCTCAAGAGGGGACGACTTGACGTCGAACCCCAAAAGAAGCGGATTCCTAGTCTATTACATCTTGTCGTAAAAAATGGCCTTCTATCCAGGCGTGGACTTTTACGAGACGTGCAGCAGCGCCCTCAAAGCAACCTTGACCCGACTAGTATTACGGCACGTAGGGGTACCAGCCGGGGGACTCCAAGTTCAACGGACGGTAGGTGGGTCAGCATAGACCCACTTCGGATGGATAATCATCCCGCTTAGGAATGGTGGGAGCTGGAGCACGAGCCATCGTCTGCCCTACCACCAACATCCTACGAGTCTAATTGAGGTACCTGTTTGTGAGGTCCTGTTTGGGGGAAATGGAAGTGTCTAGGCAGCCTGGCTGCTTGCATTTTCTGACATGTTCAGGTGACGGAGCCAAGGCTTGCTCTCTTGTTGCGAATCAAAACGGGTGGACACCACGACAAAAGGGTCAGAAGACTTCGTGGTACTGTGACCATGTTGGACATTGGATGAACTGAGGACGATGTCGGCTGGCATTTTGGCATTTGGGTCACAAAAAACAAACCTCCCGTCTCCCGTTTCTAACGGACCGCTGGGATACCGAATACGCGGATCAATTCTTGCTGGGTCCCTATCAACCAACGAGGCCGTTCTGATTGCGAAGATCAAACCTACAGCAATAAGCGTATCCAAGTGTGTCTTCCAGTCAAGCCAGTCCGCAGCCAATGAGAGTCCGCGTCGTAAAGGGCCAAAAGGGGGTTAGCGTACCTTGTTTACGGCGCCGGGCGTTGTTCTCATCGTTTGTCAATGTCGTCCCACTTTTTAGCGCCGGGCAACTGTTTTACGATATTTACGGGCCGTGCATCTTCACACATCACCATGCCATCGAAACTTGGCCATTCGCATTTCATTTTTTCTACTTCAGCGTGGCTGACAAGAGGGGCATTATCATTATCGTTAGCTTACTATCGACAGATAATTCGTTTGCGGTAACTTCCAGTAGATTGATCAATTGAACAGGTAGCGCTCTGCTTACGCCACAACCTTTCGTCATCCCAGACACTTCCTACACATATTCTTCATCTTCATACCTTTGCGGAGTTTCTGCCTGCTGCTGCCTGCCAGAAACCAAACTCCGACTGTCGGGACATTGGGTTTTCGCCAAATTTCATGGGACTGCGCTGGTACTACAGTCCGCTGAAGCTTTCTCTCACTTGTAGGTAGGGGGCTGCTCAGTGACAATCTGGCCAGTCCCTTGTCATGTCACTGCGAATTGGGTCATCATCGGATTCGGACTCTATGTAGGAACCCGACAACAGCTAGATTGTGCTTCCGCGGCACTTCTCCGCAAAACCGAAGCGACGAGAAAATATTGGTCCGGAAGACTATCTAGCTTTCTGTTTCGATCACGTGGACAGGACTAACTGCTTAAGATTCAAGATAGACTTGAAACTTGCAATATTGAGGCTTGTCGACTGTTACATCTAGCTTTAATCCCTACGTCATTAAGGTATGGTATGTTAGAGGAACTGATTCTTGTCATCATTTTATTGCCCTAACTGGGTTGCACATCCATGGCCAAATTTCACTCAATGGCCAGCCGTCAAAAGTGCTGGAGTTGCAACTTGATGGTGATTATGGCCGTGCTGCAAAAACCAACAAGACTACCAAGTTGGATCAGCACGTCTGTTGCGATAGATACCTGCCAAATACCTATACTGTTAAGATATGCATTACCTTGATCTTTCTAACAGCGAACGGTGTAACTTCGGATTGTTGCAACGTAAATCGTGGAGTAGCGCAGAGTGGGCTAAATTCAGACCGTCGAAATAATTCATGGGTCTTTCTATTAAAATTTGGTATCTATCACGCGCCGCGTACCGTAGGAAATGTCGATTTGTTGCTCTCGATGACATAGCGGCACCAGTCCAGCCAGCCTCGCCGAGCAGGGATCTGTAACCTCCCATGCGGTACGTCATTGGATGGCGCAAAGGGAGTGCATCCCCGTCGGGTCTCAGCCTTGCAGCCATTTTTCGACCTCACAAACCCCGTCCCTTCCCCAAAACCCGTCGCAAGTGCATACGGCCCCTCCAAAACTTGCGATTGAGTCACCTACCCAACCAAGTTTACCCGGCGCCGCTTTTTTTGTCCCTTTTGAAGTCGGTACCCCCTCCGCGCAACAAGCGCCCGAGATCTCGGAAGCCAGGTGAATGCAGATCCAGGTGAAGATTTTCTCGAGGTCCGCCCGACCGGCCTACCGACTGACTTTTCTTTCTCCAAGCCCAATTACATCCCCTCTTTTGCCTAGAACCCGCATCAGGCCCAGCAGTAGCAGCCGCGCGTTTTCCACGTCCAAGTCTTCGTCGTCGTCTCGTAACCAAAGCGATAGCCACGAACAGCAACTGCCCAACATGGCGCCGAAATCAAAGTTTGAGCTCAAGACCCCAAAGGGCACCAAGGATTGTCAGTCCATATTTACTCTTGCGACCCAAGACGGCATCGTACGACGGAATGCGCTACGGACTAACACAATGTTTGCTTCAAAGGGTTCGGCAAGGACATGCTCATCCGCGAGAAGATCTTTTCGCAGCTGAAGGGTGTCTTCCAGAAGCACGGTGGCATGGAGCTTGATACCCCCGTTTTCGAGTTGAAGGAGATTCTGTCAGGCAAAGTACGACATATTTCCGTGTTTACCCCTCCCCCCACCTGCGAGAACCCCGCGATCCACTTGGGGCCCTCGACTCAACAACAAGATGCAGGATGCTGACCAGCACTCTTTCCTATAGTATGGCGAAGACTCGAAGCTCATCTACGACCTAGCCGATCAGGGTGGTGAGATCACTTCCCTGCGATACGACTTGACCGTTCCCTTTGCGAGATGGCTCGCCATGAACAAGGACATTCAGAGCGTCAAGCGCTACCACATCTCAAAGGTCTACCGCCGGTACGATCTACGACATCATTTTCCTATAATACAGTCGACAGCTGGCTGACATACTCTTCATAGTGACCAGCCTGCCATGAACAAGGGCCGCATGCGCGAGTTCTACCAGTGCGATTTCGACATCGCCGGAACCTACGACTCCATGATCCCCGATGCCGAGATCATCAAGATCGTCGTCGAGGTCTTTGAGGGCCTGGGTTGGAACGGAAACTACACCATCAAGCTCAACCACCGCAAGATCCTCGACGGTATCTTTGAGGTCTGCGGCGTCCCCGAGGACAAGATCCGGACGATATCCTCGGCCGTCGACAAGCTCGACAAGCTCCCCTGGGCCGACGTGCGTAAGGAGATGACCGAGGAGAAGGGCTTGGACGGCGAGGTGGCCGACAGGATTGGCGAGTGGGTTGTTCAGAAGGGCAAGCAGGACCTGCTCCGGAAACTGCAGCGCGACGACAAGCTCGCCGCCAACGCCTCGATGAAGGCCGGCATGGCCGACCTCGAGCTTCTCTTCACCTACCTAGAGGCCTTTGGCGCCCTCGACAGAGTGTCGTTTGACCTCTCCCTCGCCCGTGGCCTGGACTACTACACTGGCCTCATCTACGAGGTCGTGACGGAAGGTTCCGCACCGGCCGTTACCCCTGACGCAGACGGCAAGACGGCGAAGCCCAAGAAGAAGAGCAAGGGCAAGGACGACGACGACCGCTCCGACGACCCCAGCGTCGGTGTCGGCAGTGTCGCAGCCGGAGGACGGTAAGGAGAAAGAAGACTAGATTGTTCTAGGTCACAGTTCTCAGGCCGCTAACAAACAATGGCAGCTATGACAACCTCGTGGGCATGTTCTCTGGCAAGACGCAAATTCCGTGCGTTGGTGTAAGTGATCCCCCTCGCCAGAGCGCAGGAGTCAAACAAGAGATCGCGTGGGATACTGACAGGCAGTTTAGGTCTCCTTTGGTATCGAGAGAATCTTTAGCATTACCAAGGCCCGGATGCAGGCCGAGAGCGTGGCGCCGCAAAGTACGGTTGACGTCTTTGTCATGTCCTTGGGTTCCAAGGCCGGTCTGATCAAGGAGAGACTCGAGGTGTGCTCGAAGCTGTGGGACGCCGGCGTCAAGGTAAGACCCAACTTACAAGAACTCCCAGTCGATCACAAAGAAGGCACATCGCTGACACTCATTCCCTCTAGGCCGAGTTCCTCTACAAGGTCAAGCCCAAGCTGCCGCCGCAGTTCAAGGCAGCCGAGTCCAACGCAACCCCCTTCGCCATCATCCTCGGCGACGACGAGGTTCAAAAGGGCGTCGTCCGCATCAAGGAGCTGGGCCTGCCCGAGGGCCACCCCCAAAAGGACGGCGAGCTCGTCGACATGGCGTCGCTCGTGCCCGAGGTGCAGAAGCGCCTGTCGCGGAAGCGCGAGCTCGACAACCTTGCTACACGGGCCGAGGGCCTGCGCGTCGTTGGCGGTATGAAGGGCGAGGACATTAAGTCCACCACGTCCACCACGGAGAAGGCCAAGGAAGAGACGGTCGTCGAGACGCCTGCTGCTGGTGCTGCTGCCGAGGCGCCTGTCGCTGCTGTCTCGGAAGGGGAGAAGCCCGCGGAGGCGGCGGCGGCGGCGGCGACGACGGAAGCTACGGAGGAGAGCAAGCCTGCAGCACCGAGCGCATAGATCACGGTGAGGTGGGGTCAAGATTTTTAGAAGCAGAAGCACAAAAAAGCACTCGGAAATAGAAACGGCCGTCCAACTACCTACCTAGTCGGCGATGATTTGCATTCATTCCCTTCAGGTATCTATCTACCACTCCAAGTCCGAATTGTGATCTTCCAGTCGATTCTTATCTATAATGCTCGTGCAATACGGCCGAGCAGTCTTACAAGTCAAACTATCTAAACCATAAGATATAATTTGTCTGTGGCCAGCGATTCTACCTACATAGTGATATCCCGCGATCGCACCTATATCAGGTAGCGCATAGAAGCAAGCCAGATCGACACGGTCAGAATTTAGAACCCCCCCCCCCCCCCCTTCCCCGTCGAGTTTATCGTTACAGGTTGGCGTGGATCATTTCTCAAACCACCTCGTGGGGGAGGAGGGGGAGAGAGAAACGACGAGTACGGAGTAGTGTAAGTAGCACAAGTAGGTAGTCAGAGCAATGACCTTCTTTCCCACCATGTTACTTCACAAAGGAAGCTCAAAACAGAACGCCCCCTAGCGGGTTGCAACGGCGGGATTGTCAGGCACCCGGCCGCACGCAAGAAAAAGCTTGGTTCCGTCGCACCATGGAGGATCTAGTGCTAAACTCAATGCGCACAGGGACTTGTACTTCGTACGTGAACTTGGGTCGGCTAGATTTAGTGTACCCAGCTATTCGTACGCTGTCTGATCAGCTCGAGAGCTCGAGGGTTCAGATGGCCTGATGTCGTAGAGCACATCTCTCCTTATAGCTCCGTCGATCATCGACAGGTGGCAGACAACCCCGGATCTCTGTACTGTCCAAGGCTAGTGTATCCATCGCGACGCAAGAGAGAGACAGAAGATCCGGGGTCGGTAGGGTATGGAGAGAAACCGCTCGCGACAGACTGAAGCCATTCGCAGTTGCTCGCGCTCAAATGAGGCGTAATCACAACCAAGCAGACGTCCCGTTTTCTTTCTCTTTCCGTCTCCCTGCTCTTCAAGCCGACCCGCGCGCAGGTTCCTTTACCCCTCAGCGCTGGACCTGGAGCCTGGACTCGACGATAAGCAGTCGGGTGGGGGTTTCAAGGAATCCAAGGCGCACAACCCCGCCGACATCGTGATAGGGCGAGCAGGGCTCGAGTCAAAGTTGACAGGGCCTCTGACCAGAGCCTGTCCAGAGGTGACAGGGTCAGAGAGGAACCCGGGAAAAGCTTTGCGGAACGCCGACATTGAGAAGTTGAGCGTATTTGTTGCAAACGGAAGAATGGATCGAAAGCTGCACGAATCGGTCGATTGACGGTTGGCAACTGGCACTTGTGGTGTGGTTTCCGTCCGCTACTGCAGGAGGGACCGGGCCTAGGTGCAGCACAACGTTCGTCTGAAATTTTTAAGGTATTTTGCTTCTTTGGAAGAAATTCGTGCTTGTCCGTTGTGCATGGCTGTTTCTATGTTCCATAATCATCCCACGAGTTGTCGTTCTTGTTAGGGTATCAATCACAACAAACATGTGGCGAGTGTCGCACTTGTCAGTATTACCCGACGAGACTTACTCACCTATGTTATGCTCGAAGCTTGTTGCATTGCATTCAGCTTCAAACGAACGACACCTACACAAAACCCGTCTTCGACAAGTCTTCAAACTTGGAAGGACGAATCAGACTACTGTTTGATTTTGCGGTGAGAACCGGAAATGTGTAGGCACGGACGTCCATTGTGCAGCAGCACCACGGTTGCAACCGTGATAAGGGATTGGAGGTGCATGCCGTCTGGAGTCCTTGGAGATCTGTGCGGATGTCCACAACGTGGTGGTAATGGGAAGAGGGAATTGGGGGGACCTCATAGGCGAGCGGGGGAGATGGAGATGTTTCGTTTCAGTCCCAATTTTTGATGGTTCCGAGTCCGTGAGCCTTGAGCCAGCGCTGAGGCCTCGTCCTTGGGATCAAGTTCGCTCCTAGGCACAACGACCGTCGTTCGCTGGCGTCTGGCTCGCCCCTGAAATCGCAACTACGAGGACGAGCACGAACTATCTGGATCGTATGCACCGCGTCGGATTTGTCGAGGAGGGCGACACGAGATTATAGGCGCCAAGACACCCGGGGATAGTTTCTGTCGATTTTGTATCCTTTTTACTTTCATGCGTAAGGGCTTGGGCTGGGTTGATGCGGCGAGTTTGACCCATTGTATTGCTTTTCCTCGTCCGCATCGTCCACTTCCTCTGCGTTGGCACTTCGTGTTTGCTTTTCCCTCCAAGTCCCGGTGGCGGTGGAAGAAGTTTTCTGCCACTTGTATTCCTTTCGTTCACCGTTCTTGTGGTCTGGACGGGCATCAAGGCCACCGTAAGAACAAGAAGCAGTGATGGCAACCCGACAGCTTGACTACTCATTGGAATATTCTGCCCACTGAAAGACACTCCATGATGAAGTAGAGAAAGTGACCATGGCGCTGGCACATGTGCCCGACGTGGATATCCGTACGGAGCACCGCATATTGAGGTTACCACGTTATTGGGACTGACGGGCGGTGCTGCTGGCGGACCGCGGCAGGGCCCCAAGGGGGCATATTGCTACATGTCGGCGGAGATTCATTCGCTGGCGTGTCATATTGCATGCTTTTCTGCATTACTCGAGTGCCGGCCCCGAATAGGTGAAGGAGGCCCAAGTGCACAAGGAGTAGGAGAGGGAGATCGTAGGCTAGCTAGGTTCTTGGACCACAGTTCCCAAGGAACGGTTCGAAAGTCGAAGGCCCCATGGTGGCATGGAGAGTGTTGCAGGGTCACACCTGCGCGTTATGAACGTGGAAGTGGGTGTGATGCTGTCACTTGTCATGAACCTGGACAAGAAGAGGAGTTCCTGAGAACAGGGCGGGCCAAAACATCGCGTTGCTTGTGGACATGATATTCAATAAGGTGCAATGAAAAGCCGTAGAGGCGAGAGGAGGTTACAAGGTTGGCGACAGGGAAGGCAGGGGGCGAAAGAAGCGTGGAAAATGACAGCAACCCAAGGAAGGGAACGACGATGGAGATCTGATGCAGGGGATGGTGCCTTCCGTGGAGCATCTTAGGAGCCTCTTGCCCTCTTTGAGACTTGCAAAACTGGGTACGTATTCGTACGGACAGGTTTGGGAGGGAAAGACCCGCTGTTCGGTTGTCGGTTCGTGGCTTCCGGTGCAGGGCAGCAGGTCGCCCAGTCACCAGTCCACCACGCCCAGGAAAGGAAGGCAGGCATGACGGGAAGTCCCTGGCTGTGCAGGTACGTCTCGACTCCCACTTTCCAATGGAAGGAGGCATGCCGCACAAGTTCCCAAACCCCAATTCCCAGATCCCAGGGTGAGGGCAATGAGGCTCCCCTCTCTTCATCTCGTCACCCCTCAAAGCCTCAAACCAATCCCAGCAAGACTCCAGCGGCAAACACGGCGGAATCGACGGCCAACCGGGGAACTGGAAATCAAATACAATTGGAAGGTCTGGAAGGTCCACGGCCTAATTAAACCGTTGGTTGATTGAGTTATCCCACGGTGGATTCGACTTTGACGGCCGTTGGTTTTCTGCTTCAAGTCTACGGATACCCGATACGCTACGAAAAGAGAAAGGCATTGCGAGCTTTTCTACCGACTCTCCTCGGGTTGCTTTCTTTTTCTTTTTCTCTTTCTCGTCCCTTTCAAGCAAGGGTTTCGTGTGTCTTCCAACCGTCTTGCATCATGCTCCACCAACAGCTCGCCAGTCGTCAAGAAGCCGCGCTATGTGCAAGAATCTTCCCTTCAAACTTGACGTTGGGACCTCCGGTTCATTGCTACTCAAGTGTCGAACTCTCTTCCTTGCTGACGAGACACAGACGGCGTTTCTCCAATGTGTCGTGAGCCGTGACTCGGAGTCTAGAGTCTTAATCAGCATCACCTCCCTTCGCAAATGACATCTAATAGTCGACCGGCGTGCGAATCATCTCCGTCCATCCCGTGCAATCCACAACGGGACCGCGCATCGCCCGTCTCCCCCATCGCAATTCCAGACCTGACACTGACAGAAGCCCATCCCTGCTTCATAATCGCATCTAATTACTTATCGCGTGTAGAACACGCTACGGCGCTCTCGGGATGCAATTAATAGCCTCAGGTACGGGCACTTCTGCTTCATACGCACCAGTCCCACAAACTTCGATGGCTTCGACCGCCCCGTCTTCGTCTTGAATCTTTTCTCTCGTAGGCTCATACGGATACTTAGCGTGTCCAATCCACGGGCTAACGGACTAGGGCGCTGCTGCGAGGTGGGAACTATTCGCACCTTGCAGATTGCACAGGGCGAGTTTCTCACAACTCTACCCGAGCAACCCAAGCCATCTCAAGCCATCCCACGCACCAAGCAACGCCTCGCAGCTCATAGCGTATCCACGCGAGGGCCGAGAGAACCATTTATGATTTGCTGAAATCTCGCCCAAAGCACACGGCTGCGCAGCACAACGCGTAGCCAGGTACGCAAACTACTATGGGCAGAGTTACATTTGTACGCAAGAGACTTGCATTGGGGTGGGGTTCAACACCATGGGCAGCACCAACGACGAGCAGGGTTAGAGGCAAGGGTCGACAGGAAAATCCACGCCGGTGCCAGGGGAACACACCACAGCGAGATGGAGCTCGATATGCAGGTCCTCGAAGGAGACGAGAAAATCTCATTGCGCAGGCCACTCACGCCTGAAGCTTGTTCCCCCTTTCTCCCTAGTCCAACGTCGATGCGCAAACACCCTGCCCAGGACCCAAACCAAACTCGAAAAGTGCTCGAGCTCTGCTCTGCCAGACGTGTGGACGGTATCCGTACGGATCCCCAATTCGAGTGCTTGAGGGGTCCCGAAATCACCTCCCCTGGATGCAATCCATGACTCCATGAGGTACTTGAACACGGCCCATCCCCCCAGGCCCAAATGGTCTCTGGTTTTGATTTTCGAGGAATCTTTCCTGTGATCGATCCCCAGCCTCTTCCGTCGTTTCTTGTTGTGTTTCTCGCATCGTATCGGCTGCCCACCCATTCACTCACTGCCTTGGTCCATACTCTGTACCATCAGCCTCAACTGACAGTTTCCTCAAGCCGTCTTTTCTACTCGAGCTTTCCCAGCTCTCCTTCAGTGGCCACTTCGTCATTAATTCAGATACCTACGCTGGTCTCACCTTGTGTACCTTGTCTCGGTCTTGACTATTCAGCCGCCACCCTCACCACTTGGCTACCACATACAAATCCTTACTATTGGTCTTCAACTCGATCGGCGCTTCGCTGTTCCTGTCTCTTCGACCTTCAGCTCATCTCAACTCCAGCCTCAGACAGCTTGCTTCCCCGTTTTCGACAGATCACAGGAAAGAAATCGAACCATTTCCTGTGCTACGTATCCGTACTACGACCTTGATCTACAACACCTCGACGACTGTTACCTGGGCACGTCATTGTTTCCCAGTTCGTCCTGATAACCTTGCAAACCCAAAGGTTCACCCGCAAGCAAATCCCGCGCCGTGGGAACATCTAGACGTCTGAAAAGCCCAACATTCCTGCCGCAGCTTCTGACACAAACCCTGGACGAAGATCATTCTGGGTGCTAAGGTCAACCATCGACCTGCACGCGACCTGCACGAAAGTTCAGACGACTTGAGACTGTTCCCGAATCCCGGTACAACGCCTGTTACGCATTTCGGGGTAACCCACTTACACCCGAATCGTTGCCTCGTGCTTTATCGGACACGTCTGGCCTCTTCAGCCCTCACTTGTCGCTCTCGTCTTTTCTGAGCCAACTCTACATCTGCCCTGATACTTCGACTTGAGCGTAAGTCATAAGTGTCACCAACGAACACTATTGCTTGGTCCAACAACGCGCCGGCTTGCCATTGGCCCTTGGACTTCAACCCGCACTATCGACTTCACGAGTAGACTTTGGCCCTGATTTCATCCAGCCATTGGTCTCATATCGGACGAAGAGGTGGCGAGCTGAGTTAGCCGTCGTCCATCACTCAGCCAACCTAGTATCGCGAACTCTCTTCACGCGCGCAAGCACTCTAAATCTATCGCAATGGGCGGTTTAATACCTCTCCTCCTTAAGCCCGCTGCCGCCGGCTCCCGTGGCAGCGTTATTTTTCCTATCAACAGAGCACCGTCGCCCAGCGCCCCCATCACAACACCACAGCCTGCGGCAACGTCACCAACTATGGCCACCAGTTCAGTCGGACCTCCTAAGGCTCGAGTGCACAAGCGGTCTGCATCGCAGCCGGCACCGCTCCCCGTTCTACCTTATACATCTGCTGAATGGAGCAAAGCTGTCTCTGAGG